CTTTAATGAATAATGATTCCAGGTTAATAAATATTGCTTGTTTCTATCAAGATTCAGGGTCATTTCAACCTCAACTGCATGCTTCGAAAGAAAGACAACGCTGTATCTTTAGCTAGTTTTCTGATAAACACAGTTTATGAACAAGACACGGAGATTTCTTTGCAAGAAAAATATTGCACGTTTCTGAATGGCGATGACACATGCAGTAATACGAATAGACTTGTTTGGTTGTCAACTTCAACAATCTTCAATCTTGTAAACGTGCTTTGGTTTGACTGAGAATTAAAGGTTGTCAACTTTTAATAAGCCAACTTTTAAATTGTTCCGCGTGGGAAAGATTTTAGAAACAGACAATATTAAAGTCGATGTATAAAAAGAGAATGTGTGTGTCTAATTCAATTGTTCGTTTGCCTCGAGGCTTAAAATTTTAGCTTCTTGAATTGAATCTTTATACAGAACGCCCAATTTGAACCCTCGAATTCTTATAATTTATTATTCAAAATATTGACTGTATATTAAAATTTAAAGAAATTACTAAAATATTAAATGATTTAGCTCTGTGCTGCGCAAGAGAATAAAACGGGTACTCTTAAAAAAGGAAAGAATATGACCAACGCCGTGACAAAAACTTACCTTCTCAAATTTTCAAAGCGGTAATTCCACTACATGGCAAAGATTCCCCGGAAATATAACAAACAGATGTGCGGAAATAAAGACTTGAATCCTAGGAGGAAAAACTTTGTAATTCTCAATGTAATTTAAACTGCCATGCACCTTAGAATGTCGTGCCAGTGTCATGTAGTTACGGAATTTGTATATTTAGGGGGTCATTTTCATTAGCAGAAAGTTCATATTATTCATTTCATAGTAAACAGGACGCCTATTCTGGCGGTAACTGCGTCGCGTCAATCGTTGCATGCAACTGTGCCCCATAGAGGTAAAACCGAATTATTGGCGCTAGGCAGATGTAGCTAACGATATAGTACAGATATTGATTTGATCGGGCATACAAGGCTTTCATGGCATTCAAGGCTTTCATGATTCATGTGATCGTTGTCTGTAAACACGTTTCGAAAGTGTTCGGCATCTTTTAGTGTAGGTTTACCATGATCAGTGTGTGCTAGTGTATGCAGAATGAGCATATCAAACAAGACAAGACGAGAATCTAGCATTATGATTACCTGTACGTATTTTCTCGAACGACAGACGTCTAGATTTCCTGCGCTATCGGCCATGCACAGCGACTCGTGTACGTGTTCTTTTATATGACGTGTATCGTGCATGCAGTTTCCTGCTTTTGGTTTGTACGACCCGGCGACAACAAACGTTTTCAATTTTTTGTTTCAGTAAAATGTTTCTTATTTAGGGTTACTCGGCTTAGGTTACTTTTTGAAGTGTGTTTATCACGAAAACATTTCGATACGAAATCCGACGAGTTCAAAATACGAGTATCTTCGTTGGCCTGCGCGGCCAGGAAGACTGGGTCGAAAACGTAAAAAACACCAACGGCAATTCACATTTGAAATTAATAGACTCTCATCGATTAATGTCAAAAATGAAATCTCGAAAATTAATATTTCAATATATTAATATTTAAAACTTTAGGAGTTATTGTAGATGACCAACTTAAATGGAATTCACATATAAATACGATTACCACCAAAGTATCAAAAGGCATTGGAATTATTCGACGAATGAAAGATTTTGTGCCCCAGTCAACTCTTATTTCGGTATACAATTTAATTGTCTTGCCCCACTTTGACTATTGCAGTCTTGTTTGGGATATAGGAAATGCAAGTTCGCTCCAAAAACTTCAAAAATTACAAAACAGAGCTGCAGGAGTAATAACTGGGAAATCATATGATATCAGATCTAGAGATATATTAAAAGAATTAAGCTGGCAACCATTAATAGAAAGATGGGGTAATAATAAGGCGGTATTCATCTATAAAGTTACGAATGGTGAATACTTATCTATCTATATAGCCTGTTCGTTGTCAAAAACAATGACAACTATAATTTACGAAATAATAATATTGATTACAAATTAGAAAAGCCTAAAACATATTTTTTGAAAAAAAGCATTAGCTATTCAGGGGTAAAGGTTTAGAATGAATTACCAGTAGAACTGAAAGGCAATTGTTTGTCATTAAATGCATTTAAAACCTTGCTTAGGGACAGATCTCAGCATAATACTTAAGTTTTGATATATGTGGTGGGCTGTGTAATGAGTAATGTGTAATTTGTAACTATATTTAAGACATAGAAAACATTATCCTGTTTTTATACAGTTATAGAAACACGAGTGGGAGTTTGGGAGAACGATATATATATATATATATATATATATATATATATATATCCGGCAGAACCTACAATTAGGGAAAAGTATTGGATCGACAGACTTAAAACAATGTACCCCTCTGGGTTGAATATTGAAATGGATAACTATGTATGCTAATTTTAATCTAGGTAGGTATATAAAAGTAGAAGCCTGTAATATTTAGTTCACTTGAGAAAGATAATAAAGTCGAAACGTTATGTTTTTGTGTTTTATATATATATATATAAAAATATATATATATATATATATATATATATTATATATATATAAAACATACAAAACATGTGTTCTCCTCTATTTTGGCTATTTACTTTCATTCTAACTTTCCAGACAAAGGACCTCAGGTTGAAACGTTGAGTTTTGTCTATTTTAGGTAATTGTTACACCACAATTGATGCCATTATATGAATTGCCCAACTCTTTTCAATTTGAAGATGAGAAATGTTCATGTGGTGAATAATGCATTGAAAATTTGTATACATCCCAATCAACCTGACCTGATAAACCTTCCAGTCAGTCAACCAGTGGACATATGCAGATCATTTACAGTAACTTTTTTAAAATTAATGTTCAAAAAAAGGGTTTTCCCTGACAAGCTTGAAGTTGCAAGTGCAGCACCTTGTCACACAAATTATTTTGCAAATACAGTAGTATTTTAGTTCTGATGCACATGCAAGAAACATTTGAAAGTTTTATGAATACTGTCTGAATAACACTGTTAGAAAATCAGAGTGTTATGAGACTTTTAATTTCAACACCTCTGGATCAGACAGTTTACATATGGTTTGATTTTTTCAGTTATTATTATTAGATTATTTTTGTTATTAATTATTTTGTAGTTTAAATAAATCTCCAGCATTATCCTATTTGATTTGCATGAGATGTGATTGAATTTGACCCATGTGATCACGTGAGTTTTAACCTATAAATCTTAATGAAGTTATGAATAATGTATAATACAGTATGAATGTGTCATGAAAAATATTATAAAATTTGATCTTTATTCTGTGATTTGAAGGTTGCTTCTGAGGGGAAACCCATTTGCAAAACATTTTCCCCTTTGCACCAACTTGGGAGTTTCCCTGCCATAAACATGCATATTTGGCCTGGATTAGATTTTTAGGAAAAAAAAGGACAAAAAATAATGGCTTGACTATGGAGGAATTTCACCCTCTTGGATGGGCAAACAGATTCTAATAATTCTAATAAAATTCTCATCTAATGATTTACTGGTTATGTGATAATTATCCAGTTCCACAATGGTTTCAACCAAATCTGTTTCCTAACAATTTTCCTAACAATTGGTGATTTCATTTGAAATTGAACTTATTGAACTAATTAATTTGTGATAACTCTAATAATTTTATCTCAGCAGGTGGAATAAAATGTTTAAAATGGACATGTAAGAAATGAATGAAATGATGATATTCCCTCTGAAAGATATTTCTGGTCTCTATGGTATAAATTGAAAATTTGCTGTGTTTTAAAATAATGACCATTTTATAGCACAAAACTATAGCACTGACTGGTGTATTACTTTGCATATGATCTTAACTACAAAACGTTGAAAAATAAATTCCTCCCGTACCCAGCAAAATCAGATTGTGAATATTTCTGGTTACTATTATTTTAAATAAAAGCAATGAATATATAAGCAACAATGTGTGCAATATACTACGTGAAACACAAATATAAACCAAACCATCCTGTCAAAACATTGTTATTTATAGCAAAATAGACAAAGACGCATTCGTATATCGCAATATGAGAGAAAACATACCTTGATTTAATACCTTCGGCAATCTGTCAATTTGTCTATGTAGCACGTATATTTATACCACGACTGGTCCGAAGCCGTATGTCTTTGTCTTTGGGCTCGTTTGCCTCGATAAAGCTTGTTAAAACAACTTTAGTTTTGTTCAAACACTAAATCAACACTTCCCAGGATAACTTTGGGAGCTTCTAGGCCAAGAATACGATCATTTTGAGTCTTTGACAAATAAGGAACACAGACTTTGAAGAAATACAAAGACTCAAAGAGAAACAGGAACTGGGTGAGGTTTTGGGTGTGGCCACTGAGCTATATGGCGCTGCAAACTAAAGTTAGAAAACTGGAACGATATATCTAAATAATATATTTTGAGATAACAGCTCAAATAATACCGCCTTTAAAACACTGGGGCGAGCATAGAGAAGTGAGAAACTCAGTTAAGATCGAGGTTCCACCAATTGCTTCCGCCAATTTTGGTATATAATAATAATGTAAAAGCATTCTTCCGTGGGTGTGACATATGTATGGGCGTCCAAAGAGGACAAAATTACGAACACACACACAATAAACCAATACGCACACAAAATATTCGAAAGCTCACAGCTAATATTCGAACACTCGCAAAGACTTCCGAAACGGTCACAAAAAAATCGAACTCACATCCCACAAACTCCTCGATGAGACAAACGCAAACTTGATGTGTCACACACAATATTCGAAATGTCGCACAAAAAACATTCGAAAAATAAATTAATTTATCCCGTTAATTTATGCATATTATAGCTAATTTATGCAGATACTATTTGTATGGACGGGGGGAGTTTCGTGCAGTCTCCCAACTGAGCCTCTTTCCCGCCATCGGCCATTTTCTTGTACTGCCTGCTTACTCAAGCATGGCGGCAGAGCATGGAAATCGAGCGTGTTCCGAAAATCAAATACAATCCGTGGTTCGGGGCATTTTGGGGCAACTATTTCAAGAAAGGCCATCACCATCTGTGCAGCATGCCACAGTTAACAGTGAAATAAATCGCGCTTTTCGTTTGCCGAGAAATTCAAACACCTCGCCATTGACAGTCGAAGGTGAACCTCAGACTGGCCCATCGGAGCCATCGCAGCCGGTCAGTTTGCCTCAGCAACCTCTTTCTGTACCATCGTTTAATTCTCATCTTAACTACGGTAATGTGATGGGTCGTAGACCTGGTCCAATTCGACCACGTCGAAGTGGAAATCGACGTCACTCAGCTGTGCAAAGTAATAACAGATGCTCCTCGACTCAATCGTCTTCGTCAGATAGAAATGAGTTATTCTTAAAGGACGTATACCTACTGCCAAGGCCAACGTACGACAGGGTCCCGAGACGTGAAGCGAAAGCGAACCTACAAAAAGAGGGGTTCTGCATTGACGCTTATACATTTGATAAAAGATGGAATGAACAAATTATTCGGGAAAAAATGGTAATGTTATTCCAAAACATATTAAAGGATGAAAAAAGGTATTAAATTTAAAATGCTAAAGTTATGTATAATTTTTGTGTAGGTCTGTTCTACTTGTTGTTACCCCCTTGCCCCAGGGCTTATAATCACAACAATCATTTGCCATGAATTTCAAAAGGTTTTAACAATAGGAACATTTCACCAACTTGTCTGATAAGTCGTATACCAAGAACAATTAAAATATTGACCAATAAGCTTAACTTCCAAATGCATCTGTGTTCTGTTATTTTTCACTCTGTTTCAATTACTAGACAATTTCAGGTTATGCAACAGCTTTTTAGTATTCAATTTTTAATTATACTCCTAAGTAATAGCAATGCTTAATTGAAATTAAAAATTTTATTGAATAAGACCAGAAATTTTACTTGTCTAGTAGAGAGTGCTGTGTTTTGTTAGTTTTATGAATATTGCTGACTTTGAAATTTTGCCTGTTTTTAGTTTTGAGTTTGTAAAATCATCAGGGACAACTGTCATTCCTGTTAATTTGCCATCTGAACAGAGAATGACAGGAAAAGTCCTAAAACATGTTGCTGGCAATGGACCTGTCTACATACGGTCTTGCACTGATGTTGAGTTTCAGGTGATTAATGCTGCTTTTCTTGTCATTCTAAATATATTTTGTATTCTAGTCATTCTACATGTATGCTTGCATTTTTTTATTGCCTTAGACATGCTTGGCCAAGATCAACAACATAACTTCCTATATTGACCTGTATATAAATGTTTTGCATGCAAGCTAAGTTATTAAACTAATTTTTTGTCATATTATATATTTTGTTTTTTTTGTTTGTCATATTATATATTTTGACCTGTTCCATTGGTACAAAATATACATGCTATTCAATCACATTGATTTGTATAAAATTTCCTTTTTATTTTTAGTTAAGTGAAGAAGGTGATGATGAAATATTAAACACTTCTGGCATATCAACCTCAGCCACAGTGTCACAAAGATCTATAGTTGAGCCAAATAAAACTCTTTTGTGCAGTGATATAAGAAACTACATACCTCAACCATCATCGTCATCATCACTCAGTAGTCCAGCGTGTTTGCAAAGACAAAATTCTGCAACCGATTCCTGTGGGGAGAATCTGTGTAGATCTGGGTTGCCAAACGAATTAAATTATGAGCCAACAACTTCACAGCTACAGCACATCAGTGAGATGTTTCCATTTCTTGACCATGAAATGATCTCAAAAGCTTTATTAGATTCAAATATGAATGTTGAAGTTTCAATTGACAAATTACTTGGAATGACAGGTATTTGTACTTTTATATGTGGTCACTATATTGGGATAAATTTTACTCCATTGCATGGCTTGATGTGCAAAACACCATCTCCTTTTTGATATTGTGAAACCTGCTAGTTAATGCAGTATAATGATTTGTGTAAACTACTTTTTTATGCATGCAGGTAGAATTGATTAATTCTCAACAATATATTTTGTATACCACAGAGGGAAGAGTTCATGATGAACCAGATGCTCATAATGAGCCAGAGAATATCACAGATGATGAGATATGGGACACACCCATAGCAACACCTGTGTCATTTGCAGATAATCCTTTAACAATCCTTAAAAGGTTTACACGTTCTGCTGTTAACACATTTGGAGAAGAGATGGATGTCGTTATCAACCGAAATAAGGACATATTACAACAAGTAGTGAGGAGATATAAACATCCCGAATTTGACATCACAAAATCTCTGAATGTGTCTTTTGTTAATGAGCCTGGTGTAGACGCTGGTGGTTTAACACGTGAGTATTTCCATATTCTGATGAATCGGTTACCGAAGCCTCTTGGTTGTCTTGATTTGTTTGAAGGTCAAAAGGGACATTTACTTCCAATGCACAATTACGACTTAGTCTCGGGTGGCTTATTCGTTATTGTCGGAAGGATGGTCTTACACGCAATTCTAAATAACTGCACTGGAGTCCCCGGATTGTCTCCTGGAGTTATCGCCTACATTGCAAGTGGTAGTCGTGATGCAGCAGTAGAGCATCTCACTTTAGAGGATGTTCCGGATCCTGTTTTGCAGGATAAATTGCACCAGGTAAAATTGAAAGAGCTTACATAGGTAGTATATGCGTACTGCGTAGTTAAATGCACTGAAGTTTGTAGTAAAATTTGACAACGAACTTGTCCAATGAACTCGTTTTTTAGATCTATTATAGAATGACAAGAAATTGCAAAACAATGAAGCACAAAGATCAATAAGAAATAGAAATAGAAAACTGACAATTTTCCATTTTTAGAAATTGTTCATAGCCATAGGGGCCCACGTAAGTCAGGACTTTGCAAGATATTGATATATCAAGGGCATGCATGGGGGGTCAGAAGATTTTGATTTCCCACATTTTCAGAAACAATACTTGTTATATCATCGAAACAGACCGAAATAATTTTCTTAAAAGTGCGTATTCACCAATCTCCCAATGCCCGTCTCCTGATAAAAATAGAGGATAGCCAAATAGATATGGGATCAACAGAGTTTAAAGCAACCTCGTACCTAGGGTCTTTTCTCCCCACGAGTAGAGTAAAGACCCTGGGCACGAGGTTGAGTTTAAAGTAGCTATAGTGACGTGGTGCAATTTTAATAGTTTGTTTATTTGATGAGTATATCACTATGAGTTACTATTACGTTATACGCACTGCATAAGGGTATATTTTCGACTCATCGTAAATAGTTTAAATATTTTATTTTCAACGGCTTCTCAAATGCAAAGAGGATAAGCTTGCAGAATTCACCTGTTCCGACAGCCCAGTTGACATCACTGACTGTCTAATGTCTGCTGGGTACTCGCATGTCAGCATTACAGAAGATCGAAGAATCCTTGCATTTGAATGCTGTCTAACATATGAAGTGTTAACGAAGCGATTAGTTTCATTAGATGACATGAGAAAAGGCTTATCAAGTGTTCGTGTGACTGGGCAAACGTTACTGGATCTCTTGGCGAAATGGCCCGAGTTGAAACAGCGAGTGTTTCCCGCCCCGGAGGTAGAAGTTATTGATGCAGCAAGTCTGCGCTCGTGTTTGTTTTACAAGAGAGATGATTCGGCAAATGAACAGACTCGAGAATTTTTCGACAAATATATTGACGAACTGAGTGCGAGACAAGGTGCAGTATGGTGTAGCCGTAGGCGTAGTAATGTTTCGATATTATACAGTAAATATCTTTAGTCTACACGAATTGAATTGGTTTTTAACCAGCATAGTTTACCTAATTTTTCATAATCCCGCGCAAGTACCTTTAATGTTTAAATTAAATGGCTTGGATTTCCTGCTCAAACATTTTCGATTGAAGCTTTAAAATCTCGTCATTAATATAGCATTTTACGCAATTAATTGAGAAAAATTGCAGAATTGTTCCTACAATAAATTTCATTTATTTCCCGAGCATATGCGCACTAAAACAGTGGGCGAACTATTTCCATTTTCCAGCGCACAGTTACTCTGTATATTGACATTCGAGTTACGCTTTCGAAGACTGCGGACATTGAAACGCTGTTTTATAATTACTCGTTCGCATACATCAAAAGAAGAAAATCGCACATAAAAGTGTAAACGGGCCTTAAAAACCCTTAACGCTATTTAATAACTCAGCAATAAAGATTTAGAATATATGAAAAAGAGGTTGGTATCTGAACAACTTACGTTACGGGCTTACTGGAAGGTTGACTGGAAGGGCAGCCTCATCCCCAGTCGTTTTTATTCAAAGGAAGAGGCAGCGCGCAAATAATGGAATAAGGCATTGCAAGAAAACTACATGCATACACAATTTACATACACTGTATAAGCTATACTGGTGCATCTACCGCGCGCAGAATCATAAAGTATAGTCGAGTAAGATTCCACGTCTCTTGTTATTCCAAGTCATTTTGTTTTTTACTAGGGGATCCGAATCTTGAGACGCTTAATGATCTAGTAATGTTTTGGACAGGATTTTCGACGCTGCCTTTTGATGATTCAACACTAACAGTGGCATTTCTAGAAGCTGTTCCGTCAAAACCATTACCGGAGGCAAACACGTGTCCAAAAGTTCTTTCAATTCCAACTATTCATAAAAACTATGAGGAATTCAGAAATTTAATGGATAAAAGCATTTCATATGGGAAACGTGGTTTTGGCAAAATGTAAATATCCTGCAATAACATCAGTTTTAAATTAACTGTATGCAGCCAGTGCCCTACTGTAGCTTTTTGTTATAATGGATGGTTATTCTTTTAACAAGTAAACTTGTCTGAAAATTTTGATGAAAATTGTGGAATTCCCATTTTACAAGGAACTGCATGTCTTGTTAATTTATTTTTACTTCATGTTATTGTTAATGTTAATGATGTTCATATTTAATGTTGGCACTTATATTAAAATTGATGCTAAATATTCATAAACTGCTTTATATGTCATAGTTCCATTAATATCATTTGGATAAATGGTGTGAATATTTTCAGCAATATTCTGTTGTTCTTGTGTTAGTTCATAAGGACATGAAGGTATCACAACCCTTTGAGCCTCTTCTTCAATCAAATAACTGCCTTCCTCATCAACACCAAAAGCATTTATTTCATCATTTCCACGCAAAATGTCTTGCACAGCACAGCTCAAGGGATCTCTAGCTTCAAGCATGCCCAACATCCAAAGCTGTCTTGGGCTATAGTTGTTCTCAGTTGATAATGGATGGTTGTTCCATTCACTCAAAAATTGTTGGATAGCTTGGTTAATAATTGGGATGTAAGTCAGATGAAGTGCCATGAGATGTATTTCATTATCTGGATCCAGCCATTGCACATGTTCCAGATAAAGAAATATGTTCAAGAAGTGACTTATTACTGCTCTATTTAAATCTCTCCAAAGGCGTTCAATGCGCTGGTTGTGGACAGATGACCCTGTAATAATACTCCCTCTGTTTAAACCACGTATGTGCAGCATGTATCTTGCAACCTCTATGTTTTCTAACCCATGATCACTTCTTACTCTTGACGGCAAATTGTATATCTGAATGGCTTCTCTGAAACATTGCAAAACTGTCTCTGCTCTGTTGTTGGTCGATGCCTTGAGGTAGACAATCAACCTCGAATAACCATCAATAGCACCATGCACAACAAATCTATATGGCTGAACCAATTTATGATTGCCGTCGATATGCCTAAAGGGTTTTGTACTATTAGTATTAGAAGGCGTTGCCTAACGTTTAATAACAAGTAGGAGAACAAAATACAGGCATACATACCATAGAGAATTGGGCGAACGTACGTTGTAAGTCCGACGAATTATGAACTGCGTGTGGTTAATAGTTCGCGAAACAGGGTCGATTCTGTTCATTGATTGGCGAATCCTTTCTCTTTGAACATTCAATCCTTGTGCCCTTAACGCTCCTCGCACTAATCCTAGTCCTATTCGAGGAGTACGTTCTAACACAGTTCTCACACGATCGTCAAGTTCTTGGTTAGATAAGTTCGTGTAATTTCCTGTTGTGAATAAAGAAAATTGATATCTCCATCTTCTGAGCGTTCTTACTGAAATTCCGAGACATCTGGCAATATCAACCCAGCGAAGACCTAGATTATCTCGCAAGTATCGTAGCTGCTGTTCATCCATTGTATTTGCGAAGCAAGGGCGACCAGCTCGGCCGGTATATTGAAAAGCCCCATTCCGACCGCCTATGCAATTGTGCTCCAGTTGTTGTTCCTGATCAGAGACTCGTAATGCTGCAACGCTAAACTGAATCTTTAACCACGAAACCAATTCCAGCAAATGCTGCACAAGCCCATGCAACGCTTGTCTTTCTGGATATGCCTGAAAAATTCTTCCTTGCAATAAGCTGATGATCTCCTCGTAATTTTCGAGTTTAGTTACCCAGTATCGCGAAGATTCGATGTCACTACTGACTAGTTGCCGTCGTGCTCGAATTAAAGTTGCTTCTAAATTTTCGAAAAAGTTTTCACTGCTTGGCAACCACCTGTTCGCCATATTTACTCGAAGAACGCTGTGGTTATCGGTGAACTGTGTTTATATAACCTTCCCCCGTCCATACAAATAGTATCTGCATAAATTAGCTATAATATGCATAAATTAACGGGATAAATTAATTTATTTTTCGAATGTTTTTTGTGCGACATTTCGAATATTGTGTGTGACACATCAAGTTTGCGTTTGTCTCATCGAGGAGTTTGTGGGATGTGAGTTCGAATTTTTTGTGACCGTTTCGGAAGTCTTTGCGAGTGTTCGAATATTAGCTGTGAGCTTTCGAATATTTTGTGTGCGTATTGGTTTATTGTGTGTGTGTTCGTAATTTTGTCCTCTTTGGACGCCCATACATATGAGAATCGAGATTAATGTTGAAATGAGTCTAATGAGTAATGAGTCAAAAAATTGCGGTGCCCGCGCCAAGTTTGGCACCGCATTATATTCTGCCTGTGAGTTTGTTTGTTCGCATCAATACGTTTCCTTAATCGCCTAGTAAAAATTCCTTGCACATGCTTGGAATGCTTGGAATTTTTTCCTAATTATTACTATTAATCTTGTTGTACGTTTGCCAAATTTCTTTTTTAAAGGAACGTTCTTTTTTCAATTTTAATCTCAAACTCTGATAATTGCGTGTATCTCTGCTTTATGCACCCAAGAAGGACAAAAATACCACCATTCGATTCAGCGTAAGAAATTATACTTACAGGTCTTAAATATATTACTAAACAAGAGTATTCGCAGCGATTTATGACGTTTGAAAGACAAACGAAATTGAATTGTTGACAAATCGCTCAAAATTACTATGCTATACTTTACTAGTAATAGTAAGTTTGGTCTTTGATATCTTTCATATCGTTGGTTTTCTCTTTTAATTTTCGTCCTTAAATAAGTGGATCGGTCTTACATTACGATTTATTTTATAGTACTTTGAGCCAAATATATTCTATTTCGAAGGTTTTAAAGTATAGTTTCAATTAGCGAACTTTATGACAAATCGCTCAAAATTATTAAACAAATTAAAAATGCAGTACGCTTATCCTTGATTCTGTATCGTTGCTTTTCTAGTTTCCGGCTCTACACCAGTTTATTCGTCTCACGTTTCTCTTCATTTTCATAGTATTTTTAGATAGTATTTTTAGCCTAAATATTTTATCTCTGAAGATTTTAAAACGGCGCAATTTTGACCTTAATGTACCAACCAACCAGGCAGTCTGCGGCCGACAGGAGAATGTAAGTTGGTGATGTCGTTAGAAATGAGCGGACGTTTTATTTCTAGGCGAGCATTGCGGGCACCGCATTTTATTACTGTGTCTGGTTTTGCTGCATTTTCCTAACCACAGTTTTGTAACTGCGGATAAAGATTTCGCCTTATTTTGCATAAAATTTACCTTCGAATTTCTCAACTATATTTTACATTATGGCCAACATAACTCTTAGATATATCTCTCTTAGAAGGTTACATATATCTATTCAAGGGACCGGCGAGGAGCGTTTTTCGTATTGCTGGGGCTCGGAACCGCACGCCTGCTAGGAGAGTCCGCGAAAATTTTGAAATACAGGGTGTATCAAAAAAAATGTCCCAAATGTAAAATTTCCGTTTTGCAGGATATTTTGCAGAATTTGGCAAATTTTGGTGTTCCTAGAGATAGTTAAGACTTATCTGGTATACTTAGGCCAAGTTTGGTTTTTCATTAACAAAATTATGTTACCGGGGGTGGTTCCTTTCCACTGATATTGAGAGGGCTTGCGCGCGAAAATGTGAAGCTGAAGTTGAGATATTATTTAGCTGTCTAAAAGTAGGAAAGCTTTTTTTATAAACTGTCAAAGTTTCAGGAAAAATAATGCAAAATGGGAACAACGCGAGACTCCTAAAAGTGACAAATATTTCATTGCGCGCAGTGTATTAAATGCATGGTTGATTTTAGCGTGAACGATCTCATGCAAGGCTGGGCAAATGAATAAATTAAAGCGAGAAACTGAACAAGAAGACGAAGCGATTTAATACTAAGATTCTTATTCTTGATGTTAATCCTCAACATTTCCACCATTTCTTTCTAAGCAAACTGCGGCTCGTCTGAGCATGGTAAACACGGAACGGCGAACCACATTTGTCTGTCCTGCCTCAAATTATCCATTTCGTTCGAAATTCTTTTTTGCAAATCGCCTACGCTACCATCGGCAAATCTAGGCGAATGGACAGACAAATGGTTCGCTGTTCAGTGCTTATTATGCTCAGACAAGCAGCAGTTTGCTTAGAATGAAATGGTGGACATGCTGAGGATTAACATCACGAATAAATCGCTTTGTTTTTGTGTTCAGTTTCTCGCTTTAATTTATTCATTTGCCCAGCCTTACATGAGATCGGTCACGCTAAAATCAACCATTCATTTAATCCACTGCGCGCAATGAAATATTTGTCACCTTTAGGGGTCGCGCGTTGCTCCCAGTTTGCATTATTTTTCCTGAAACTTTGACAGTTTATTAAAAAGCTTTCCTACTTTTAGATAGCTAAATAATATCTCAATTTCAGCTTAACATTTTCGCGCGCAAGCCCTCTCAATATCAGTGGAAAGGAACCACCCCCCCGGTAACATAATTTTGTTAATGAAAAACCAAACTTGGCCTAGGTTTACCAGATAAGTCTTAACTATCCCTCGGAACACAAAAGTTTGCCAAATTTTGCAAAACATCCTGAAAAACGGAAATTTTACATTTGGGACATTTTTTTTTATACACCCTGTATAGGTCTCTGAAATCTCCGCAAATGCCTCTCAATTTAAGGATTAATGGAAAATAGTACATAGTATGTAAAGTTTCCAGCATGTTTGGCGTTCTAACCAACATTAAAAAATATAACCATGCTTTGGTTATGATGTCAAATATTTTGAAATGGATAACCATGATGTTTTAATGGTCAAATGCTTGTCCTATGTAAAGTTCCCAGCATGTTTGGCGTTCATAGCAAACATTAAACAATATAACCATGCTTTAGTTATGATGTCAAATATTTTGACATCGATAACAACGCTGTTTTAATGGTCAAATGCTTGTCCTATGTAAAGTTTCCAGCATGTTTGGCGTTCATAACAAACATTAAACAATATAACCATGCTTTGGTTATGATGTCAAATATTTTGAAATGGAAAACCACGATGTTTTAAGGTGGCTCCCTATTCCGCTGGAATTTTTTCAAGTGCAGGTTTGATGATGCAGAATTAAGCACCAACATTTTAAACTATAGATTAAAATTAGCTTTAACGTATTGAGTACCGTGTTCGAAATAAGATAA